ACAGTGCGTTCAGTTCTCATGTTGTCTACAAACTTGTTGTCTACTTTAGACACTTTCAGTTGGGATTCAAAATAAGATTACACCTTCAAGGCGCTCTTAAAGCAGGTTTGTTTTGGGTTCCAGCAGGATATCGACCTCGGAATGTGTTTTCGCCAATACGTACATGAACTGATGGGCATCAGGCTGTGATTGTCGATAAATGTTATCTGCATACGGAGAGTAGATTTCTTGTTTATCGTCAAATCTGAAGACCAACGACAGTTCATACTTGTATTGGAGTCATGTCCAAAGGGAAATCCATGCTTTAAGTGTGTAAAACGACATTGTTTTAAAACTACTAATAGAAACTATAAGCGCAGCGGGTATGTGGTGTATATGTCAACGAAAACAAATTACTGTGCTTCATATACATTTCAATAAGAATATATATATTCTGAAATTACAAAATGCATCTTCCGATACATGTTCATTCAGCCTCCTCACACACGTGGTTTTTTAATGTGCACGGCACACAATGTTTGGTTCAGATGGTCATAAAGAACTTTTGATTAACCGTTAATAACGCTCAAGCAAGGCAGCGACTTGCTGAAAATCAATCCTCGTATTTCAACAATATCACGGCCGGGGACACCAGAAATGGGCTTCACACATAGTACCCATGTGGAGAATCGAACCCAGATCTTCGGCGTTACGAGCGAACGCTTTAACCACAAGGCTACCCAACAGCCCTCGTATGCATGAATAAAAGGAATGACGCAAAACGAAGTCGGCAGAGATATTAATGTTCATCGAAACACAATATCATTTGTTTGGAGTCGTTATCTACAGCAGGGCAACACTCATGGGCCAGTCGTCCAGGTGTGACGAATGTCATCAATTTTGGGTGGAAGTGTAATGGTATGGGGTCACATCACAACTCATGGGAGAACACAACGCAGTACTGTTGAAGGCAATTTAAATGGCGTAGACTATCAGGACGACATCGTTCGAGATCATGTTCTACCCCCATGCAGATGCAGGGATGTAACGTCACGTAATATTCACCTAGCAGCAACAGTGGTCAAGCGTCTAAATTAGGCGTAAACTGGATATCCAGGATGAAAGCAATGATCATCACACACCCTTGATGTGATGTGAGACGAGGGAGGCAGCGTCTTGACCACTTGTACAGTCTAATCTCTTCCAGAAGGTTCTTTTCCATGCTGGATTAGTCTAGCTGTTCTTGAAGATTCCAGATTACACTTGACTCCGAAAGCATCTACATATAGCAACTCCCACACCACCACTTACATTTGATAGTTATACATTCCTGACAACAAACCATTGTCAAAACACAATGCTGTGCATTTCTACTGAGTCTCAACAGAAACATACAATTATAACAATAAATTACACTGCCGCTAGCTCATTGGGATCATTGGTTGACATTTGGAACAAAATCCCCTTGGCTGTTTCCAATTATCTGACTCACCTGTATCAACGCAAATGGTAGTCACACCCGACATTGACATTGTTAATCGAGATCTCTGGGTATGTCGCTGTTTGTTGTTTAACGACGCTCTTAGCAATATTCCACCTACATGACGGCGGCCTGTAAATAATCGAGTCTGGACCAGACAATCCAGTGATTGACATGCATCAACCAAGTCAGTGAGCCTTACCACCAGATCCCGTTAGTCGCCTTTTACGGCAAGAATGGGTTGCTAAAGGCCTAATCTATCCCGGATCTTCACGGGTCTAACGTCGCTGTGTCACCTGTTACCAAGTATGGGTTTTGTCAACGAGATTGTTATGATAAAACATTGATCAGACGAATTGCCAAATATTTCGATCGATGTTATTTTCAATAAAATAACATTTGCACCAATTTATATGAAGTGCGGTTATCATTTTACAGTAAATATATACACAAAGAAAAAAGTTAAGTACACCCTACTATATGTCATTATTGTTTGGTCCCAATATCTGTAACAGCCATGAAAGATATAATTACGGGAAGAATTATGTTTTCTCGAGATTATGTAATCAGTCATGCGTGACGAAAGCTCGCGTGTCATGCATAGTATGTCCGTGCAGCATGCTACCCTCGAGTATCTCTAATAGCAGTATATCCAAACGTTAAAATTGCTTTCTTTAGCTCCGTTTTAAACAGTTATTCTGTGACATTGTGTGACCATGGCACGAAGGCGAATATCAAACGCCACAAGATGGCAAATAATCGGCATGCATCAGGGATGTCTTGTAATGCCATTGGTCGGAATTTGGGGTATCATCACACTGTCGTAAGCCATTAAGTCGAGAAACATGCTCAAACCGGTGATGTACAGGGCCGTCCCAGGGCCGGAAGACCTCCTGTGACAACACGTTGCGAAGACAGGGACCTTCTTCCTCTCATACGCCGAGAACGCTTTTTAACAAGTACTCGTCTGAAACAGCTGTGGTTGCCCAATCGTCGTTTCAGCACCAGAACCGTCAGGAACCGGCTGAAAGCAGCAGGACTGAGGGCTAAACGAGTCATAATGCGTCCCTTGTTGAGAGATCACCACAAAGCTGCCGTTTAGCGTGGTGTATTGCGCGACAGAACTGGAATCTGAGAACTTTGAGGCGGATCCACTGGTCAGACTAGCTTTCTGCTCCACGTCACTGATGGGTGAACGAGTTTCGAGGCACCGGATCACGGCCTACACCCCCAGGAACATTAAACCGACTGTTGCATACGGCGGGGGCTCGGTAATGGTTTGGGGGCGTATCTCTCATGATTGCAGGTTGGATTTGGTCACCACAAGGGGCAACTTAACAGGGCGTAGGGTGGAATGCGTCATACGGGCACCTGGCAGTTATACCTGCTGTTGAACTGTTTCACGTGTCATGTCAAGTAGACTCTAAGGAACATTTTCACATGAAACATCAAAAGTAACTCGTTTACTTAATCCTGCAGCTCCATACTTTTTGAGGTATTGTCTAAGTCAAAAACAGTACCTGTGTTACCATGTTGCTTTTGTCAGTAAATTTCAATCTTCTTTATTTGTTGTCAAATGTTTGTTCTATCCGATGACAGTCATCCCATGAGGCCGGGGGTATGGGGTAGGGGACTTGTATAGAGTTTAGATATTGTTTCAGCTACAGGTACAAAACCAGATATAGGATAGAACTAGGATCCTGATATTTTAAAAGAAAAACACTTTGCAACAATGTAATCTTGGTGGCAGGCAATTTCCTTTCTTTCCCACCAACAGTCTGAAACATAATTTTGTTTTCAAGAATATTTGGGAACAATTTCTTTTTTTTGATAAATCCCAAACCCCCCTCCCACCTGTAAAGGAGGTGAAGAGTGAATGCTTTTTAGTGTCAGAGGTTGTCCAGGACAAAAAATGATGGGCATCTGATGCTGGTGTGCATGATAATTTGGAAGCCATTGGATAATATTACACAAATTCTCACTTCATCACAATCATTATTATGATCATAATAAGATTATATACCACACTCATCCAGGTACTAGTATATGCTTTAATGCGTTTATTTGTTCCCAACCAGTGGATCCTTTTGCATTCCTATGATCATTCTATAGTCCCTGGGGATTATACAACCAAAGCAATCTCGGAGCGCTAGTGGATTTATATACCAACTCCCAATTGCATAAAGAACCACCACACAGCAACAATAGATGCAAAGTATGGCTTATACATGACTGGAAGTTTGTGACTTGTTATCCCCCGCCCAACAAAGTTGGCGGGGAATATAGAAACGGGCTCCGTCTGTCCGTCCGTCACGTTTCTTTTCCGGAGCATAACTCATAAACCGTTCAATATTTTTTCATGAAACTTTGCAGGTCTGTCAAGTACATGCTGAACTGGTGCCTTTTGCTATTTAGAAATTTTAGAAATTTTTATCTTTTACGTTTCCATGGCAACAAGATGGACTTAGGTTCCAAACTCTTCTTTTTTTTACAATTTCCATGACAAGTTCCACCTCGGTTAAAAAAGGTTAGGGTTTGTTTAGATTTAATTATGTCATAAATTCTACAACAGGGGAGGGGGATATAGCCACGTTAGTGGCAAACTCTTGTTTAACTTTGCAATATTCCAGCTATATGACATTGCCATGTATTTAATCAAGTCTGGACCTGACAATCCTGTGATTGATATTCTGGATAATAATTCACTCAGTCAGGGTAAGGTGAAGGCAAGCAAGTCACAGCGCCTGACCACCTGATTGATCCATCTAGCTGCCGTCCATGTCCATCATGGGTTGTTTGGTACCAAGAACCCGAATCCCCGCTGGTAATGAGTATGAAGTTGATGGCCAGGAAATGCCACCCATCCTTCCGTCCTCGGATTCATATTTTCACAACAATACTCTATGTTCCAGCCATAGAATGGTGGATTGAAAATGATCGAATCTGGGCCAGACAAACCAGTGGTTGACATTATGAGAAACGTCCCACATTCCATCAATCAGGACACTGACACTGACACTGACAACCCAATCAGTAACATGTCACAAGAAAAAAACAGTGACTGGGATCTTTCTTATCTGTCATAAGATGACAAAGTATGTTTGTTTTGCTGTTGGAAAGAGTGAGTGAGTTGGATCCCAGGGTCAGAGGTTTTTGTTGGGAGTTGAACAATAAATGCCCTAATGTTGTATACCATTCCACTGGTGGATTTTCCCCAGACACCTTACATGGTAACCAAGGCCTTGGTCAAGTCACTTAGTGACTTAGGTATTATGTGCACCCCCCTTTTCAAAATTCCGGATCTGCCCCTACAGTATAATACACAACAGCTTGAGGTAGAGTATGTCTCAACTCACTTCACACAAGTCCTGTGGTTGGAGTAAAACCCTACTTTTAACAGTATGTCAGTTGTATCATGGCCAAGTCGATTCATAATCAAGGCACATCTGGGAATGTGGGGTTCAGGCCCCAGCCAAACAACTTTACTGTGAAACAATTTCCAGAACATAAATTGGAGGCACATAAAGACATAAATATGAAATTGAATAACATATTTTAATGGTGGCATGAAGATATCTCTGCAACAATCAGCACATTGTATTTCTCTCTTTACACAGCAACTTGGAGTGGGATTCTGTACAGTCAGTATCTACAAGTCCTGCCAGCCATCAAGCTGCAAGGTGACACGGGATCACATGATCCACAACAGGACTGGAGGCTAGTCAGGGTTTCCTTTTTGAGCCTGGGGATAGTAAATAGTTGCAACAAAGACACTCATCAATTTTTAAAATGGTTAAATTTCACTTTTCCACATTTCAAGGATCTTTCATTATTTCTGGAGTATCACCTTTTAAACAAGCCCTTATTCCATTACCTACTGCAATTGCCCTGGAAATGAGTAGGGCTGGGAAGAATCTAGTATTCTGGTACCCATGCCGCTCCTACCCAAACAGGGTACCTGCTTTGAACATTACATTGCGTGTTCTTGTGGAAATACTATGGTCAATATTTAATATTTGTTAGAAGTCCTGAATCAAAAATGATTCTTGTCGGTTGAATAAAGCATTAACAGCAAACAAATTAAATGTTTTACAAGTACACTGAGAAAAATAAAAACAAAAACAGAACAGTACAAAAGTTTCAATTATGTCATTATTTGTTTCCATTTTTCTATTTTCAAAAGATGACGGTCGATAAAGCCATGTGACTATGAGTCTCAGTACTTTCTCCCTTGGTAAGTATCTTGTTACCCATCCCAGCCCTACTGCACACAAAATACCAACTGTAACTGTTTCATCTGATGGTTTAGTAGTTAGATTTTGACAAACAAGAATAAGTGTGTTAGACACCTAGAGCAGGGTAAAGAATGTGTCAGTGAGTTGTTAAGACATACACATGCAATGCCGATAGATTGATGTAACACAGTCAGGTCTACTTCTCTTGTATTAATCATGTGCACAAAGTGAGTTCTTAGCAAACCATGGAGGGAATGTTGTTAGGTGTGTAAACAAAACTAATGTTTAGACCGGTGTGCAATTTCACTCACCAAATCATGCCAAATGAAGTGGAAATGAAAGCTCATTACAGAGAGAGGAACAAATATTGCACGGAAGTAAAAACTATTTCATACATGCTCATCATTTCCACTCACTGACAAAGGTCAATGTTGTAGACAGCAGTACCAACATACCAGGTATACATTGTGAAAGTGGAAAACCTGACAATGCCCAGTGAAAGATATTCATACCAAACGTTGTTGTGCAAGAGGGCATGAAAACTATTTGTGACAAGCATGTGGAAAGTTTATCAGAAAATTTTATTCAGCATGCTTTATATTGTTAGCTATTTCTGCATCATCGACCTGCTACCTGTTAAAATAGTGTCAGTAATGTTGAGGTTGCAATGACAATACAGTGGAATCTGTTTAATCCAGATCTCGGTAAATACACAGGACTCTGGAATCCAGACGGAAACTGTAGAACAAAGGACCACGTTTTCGCACATATCCCTCACATATCCAGTAAGCTGATCACAACATAGACTGATCGCGAGAATGGTAGTCGGCTCAGCTGTAACATACCTTATATTACCGGATACTAGGGCTGCAACGAATACACTGTGAGGCGAATACGATTCGTATCATGAATATAGGGTAACAAATACAAATATTTATTCACGAATACAATAGCAGGTCAGCAGTTCATGTATTATTTATGATAGTCAGTGAAACAATAACAAAATAAATTATGTGACATAGTTTGTTAATTATTAATTTATTATACATTTATATACTTCACTTATCCAGGTACTAGTATCTGCTAAAATGCGACAATAACCAGTGACTACATTACTGTCAAATTAAATATAAAAGAGTGTTGTCTTTGAAGAAATCTACGCATATGTTAATATGTTCTTATGGATATTTTAAGGGTCAGGGTATGTAAATGCACATGACTGCATATTCATTAGTATTCAATTCTAGTGACCACGAATAACGAATTCAATTCATGAATGGATACAGTTCCATTCACCGAATACACGAGTGAATTGTAACAGCCCTACTGGATACAATAAAGTTGATTGAATAAAGGTGCATAGGTCAAAAAGTTTATTTAGAATTCCATTCACAGAACTATCAAAGAGCATAAACAGTTACATTTCATGAGGATTGATAGAAAATGTTACTGTCAAGATGAAGTTTGTTTTAATTAAACACTTTTATCTCAGCTACCAACACTAAATTCAATGCTGATGGGGGCATAGGTGGCCCAGTCGTCTAAGGCGCTGCGATTCGCTGTGCAGAGTTGCGTCCCTTGGGCATGCCAGAAACCTATGATCGATGATTATGTTTCTAGGTTTGTCAGCACCATACCCGTGTTTGTGGGTTTCACTGAAGTCACTTCGGTCTTTCCTCCCACATTAAGCTGACACGCCGTGATATAACTGGAATACTGTTAAAAGCGGCGTTAAACCCAACTCACTCACTCTTTCCTCTGTTACTGTGACAAACAAGATATAATTAGTACATAGAGCTGATACAATATAATGTTTATCCATCATTCTAACCCAGAAAATATAGTGAACACAACACACTGTGAAGTTTTCATGTTTGCTCATTAGAGGCAATGACTTGAGAAGTGAAAAAAAACCAGCAAGTGGGAAACAAAATACATCGCTACCAGCTTCTACAGAAAACAGACAGTGGATGGAAGTTGGAGGTAAATGTCTACAATGGACTAAGAGCCAGGATATATTCCTGGTCAGTCACTTGAATAACATTCAATAATTCCTAAAGAGCATATGTGAGAGTTGTTAAATCCTGGCCTTTGCACCTGATGATATTAAACAATTTATTAAGGCATGCAGCTGGTAATATACTACAACCCCCAGGTCAGATATCTCCCAGTGACTAGCCAGTGTAGAGAGGGCTATGGATGTAAGAAGCAGACTGACAAGGAATACAGCTAGTCTGAGAGAGGGGAGGGTGATCTGTGACAGGGACATGGTTAGACTGCTGTGGCTTACACCTACACAGGCAGCTGTATACTCATCTCACCCCACCAGCAAACTTACCCAAGCTCTGCTACAACCTGAAATAACCAACACTGCTGTGTCACTCCATGCACTCATACAACAGTGTAAACAATACATAGTTCACATCCAGCTCTCACTGACCAGACAGTCCATATGTGGGATAACACTGCAGGTACCACTTAATGTTGACATGGCTACACAAATGTCTTCAATTTTCAGCTTCCTACAGTGTTCTTTTCAAAATTTAGCAACTTGGTCTGTTGATCTGAAAGCCTGTGTCTACAGCCTTGGCTCACATGTCACAATTCAGCTCTTACTGTCAGAGAGTTAACACTTGCCACCAGGAACCCATACTGTAAGGCTGGTGTGTGCGCTTAAATCTACAGTCTGTTCAAATAAACAACTTTCAGAACATTTCACGGAAACAGTACATTACTGAGGGCTATTTACAGTGGAAGTTCAAACTTGACATGTATGTCAGCTTCTCTTGCAAGGGTCACGATTGTTGATAGCTTTACAACCTGAAAAAGATGTAAAATGTTTGGTAATAATCCTTATAATTACTCTACCATATTGCTTTGCCTAAGGAGACATAGAAATGCAAATACAAATTAATTTGGACTGAAACATACTTGAAAAGACAGCAATATTTAAATGGATAAAGCCACAAGGCTCTGCACCTCTCCTGACTTTTTCTTGAATATCATATTAGATCAGGAAGGTTACACAACAGTAAAGAAGGATAAGAAAACAAATTAACAGAAGTCTCCATACAACAGACATCCACAGTATGTTCATCAATTGATAATGATACATAGATAACTGGCTGAATCTCATTAAAAAAGATCTTAGTGCTCACTACCGATAAACAAAGATCTGACAACATCCCATCACAGGTCATATCTGAACCACTTTTCATCTGACAAATCAAAATGTCATTGACGAAATTGGGAAAGAGACGGTCGGAATGTGTTTCCTATTCATTCAACCTAGAAAGGGTTTTCACAGGGTACTCCAAACGACAGTTTTGGGCTGCACAACAGATTCCGTCAAAATTATTGCTTTAATGAGATAAACATTTAAAACAGAAGAGACTTCCCATAGCCTATTAGACATTCCAGCATTGAGTTTTAAAATTTCTAATTGTAAACCTTATCAAAATAGGTTTCTAAGTGTAGTTGCCAGTTTGAAACTACGGTCATTAATAGAGAAAGCTGCCTTCTGATGGGCTAATATTGAACTCTTATAAGTCATTTCATAGGTCGGTCAAAGTTCACAAAAGGTCATTCTGACAGGACCTGTAATGGGATGTCCTCAGATCAATGTGTAGCAGTAGCGAGCACTAAGATGTTTTAATGACATTGATAACAGGCTATGCAAAGAGCCAAAATTACATGTTGACCTTGACTACCATGGCACTAATGGCAACCACAGCAGTGCATAACAATCAAAAGTTGAAGTTATATCATGATACCGTACTTTCATGATAACGTACTTTCATGATACAGTACTATCATGATACAGTACTATCCTGATACAGTTATATCAGGATACAGGAAAACATAACATGTTATTATTAGCAATACCCCTAAATTACCATGTATCAAATTTCATAACATCCACAGAAATTACTTAAATGTTTAAAATCAGATGATAATTCATAATATTATTTTTCCACTTTAATATCATGAACAAATCTTAAGTCTGTAATTGTACAAAACCTCTTCATACAGTTTCTACACCTTGGTTTTTGTGGTTCATAAGATGACTTTTTAAACTTAAATTGTTTCAATCTTTTTGAAAAATAGGGAGTCATTATAGCTTCTCAGAAGATGTTCAAACACAGCACTCCATTCAAGTATATTATAACCCTGGTTTAGAATATGTTCCTGCCATCTCTGTTCTGGGGTTCATTCAATGAAAGTCCATGTCTTGGCAGATTTATACACATATGATCAAACATATAACATTATGTAAAGTATGTGACAGTTGGCAAGATATGGTCCTAATTCATGAAACAGTTTAGGACAGAGCAAAGGGTCATTTTTTAGTACAGGTTGCAGCAGTATTGATACCCCGTTCACCCTGGGAAGAAGTCTTTTTTGCCAGCAGTATAGTACAAGCAACAGTGTCTCACCATTCTAGCTGCCTCATCGAGATTATCACAGGCTAAGATCTTCATTTGACTGGCTGCAATGATAGCTTTTGCATCTTCATTTCTTGTTCCTAGGAAAAAAACACAGAAATACACAAATCATGAAGTAGGTTTTGGAGAGAGGTCCATGACAAAAGGCAGTAAATATTCTCAGATTAACAATAGTCCTAGTTTTGCAAAGGATGAATGTATCCTACTGACTTATTCCAAGACAAGTAAAGAGAAGAAGGCTCCAATAGTTTTAGTAAAATCTAAATATTTTTTACATTTGTATACTTATCCTACATTACTCCTTAATGCATTTACTGCTGTTTTCTGACAGGGAGATGAACTGTGTGAGATCCAGCTGCTAGAGAAAAGTTGTTCCAACCAGAAGATGCAGCACCCTCGCAGTGTCGTTACATGACCCAGAAGTCATGACGTCACATCAAAACACAACTGCTTTAAACACAACATCTGAAACTTGGTTGGTTGGTTTGTTGTTTTTAAACGCCGCACTCAGCAATATTCCAGCAATATGACGACGGTCTGTAAATAATCAAGTCTGGACAATCCAGTGATTTATATCATGAGCATCAATCCACTCAATTGGAATCGATGACATGCCAAGTCAGCGAGACTGACCTCCTGATCCCGTTAGCGGCCTCTTATGACAAGCATAGTCGCCTTTTACAGCAAGCATAGCGAGGGGAGGACACTTAGACGTCGTTGTCATCAATCCCAATTGCGTGGATGGATGCTCATGATATCATTTAAAGCTTGTAGGATGTGAGCCCGGAGCCACAGGGAAATAGTATTCTGGCTGACCTCTGACTGCGACGAGGGAGAGATTGGCAGGAAAAAGCATTTCCTAGACTTGTGGCAGGCTTCTGACTGTCGTAGGAAAACCCTCAATGCTTGCACCAGGCATAACCAAAGCTCCGTTCTGCCTCTGCCTTGACAAGAGGGGGGAGGGGGGTGGTAAGCTATCTATCAGGCTGTCCTGGGAGTAGATTCTTATCAATGAAGTCCCAGCACATCCCAAGACACACAACGCCATGAGTACCAGGTTCAAACCGGAAACCTTGGAGACGTGAAGCTCACTGACCCGTGCAGCGGTAGTCAGAGCCAGTAGGAACACTGTCATCTTCGTAAGGTCATAGAAGGAAGACGAGTGGTTCAAAGGAAGCTGTCTGAAGAACCAGTAAAACCATGTAAAGATCCCACGCAGTCGATCTGAACTTGGCTTACTGATCTTCAAAACGAAACGAGTGCAGGGAGGCCTGGAGTTCAGGGATTTTCGTCATTCTCTGAATGACTGAGATGGCAAGCACAGAGTTAATGGCGACCAGGTATGTAGAGATGGTGGAGCTTTTCAACCAACACGCGCAAATAAAGGAGAAACGTAGCCAGAAACTGTAGGGATGCTGTCAACGGATCCTGGTGTTTTGTCTGAGCAGAGGGCCTGGAAGGAGCACCCTTTGTCGACATACAGTCCCTGTGTAGACGAACAATAGATTAATGCAATAGCCTTGGCCGTTCAAGCTGAGCAGCCCTTGGCAAACCAGGCAGGGTTTGGGTGTCGCAATCTGCTGTGTGGGTGTAACAAGTGGTCGAGCCACACCTGAAGGTCTAGGGGATTGCCTCTGGCAAGGGCTCGGAGGACAAGAAACCAGTACCTTGCTGGCTACCAGGTTGCAACCAAATTCAGTGGTTGAGGGGCCTGGAACATATGAAGAACCCTGGGAAGGAGAGCCGGAGACTGGAAAAGGGTATGCGGATAAACCTCCCCAGGGAACGCTGAGGGCGTTGACTGCCATAGCTGACGGATCCGGCACCGGTGAGATGTAGGATGTCCGCTGGCAGTTCTGGGATGTGGCGAACAGATCGATGTTGTGGGAGATGTGTGAGTGAGTTGGGTTTAACACCGCTTTTAACAATATTCCAGTTATATCACAGCATGTCAGCTTAATGTGGGAGGAAATCCCGAAGCGATGCAGGTCTCTTTGGTGAAACCCACGAGCCAGGGTATGGTGCTGACAAACCTAGAAACATAATCAGGGTGAACCGGGATTCAAACCCACAATCATAGGTTTCTGGCGTGCCCAAGGGACGACTGGGCCACCCGTGCCCCCTTTGGGGAGATGATCTTTTGGCAGATCAAGGTCAACACGTCTGAGGGGTGCTACCACCCGAGGGAGCCACCATGTCCGGCCTGGACAGAGCAATCAACCTGGTAAGTGCTGAACGAGAAATCGCAGGGTATTTCAGAGGTGATCCTGCCAATGTGTTATCGCTAGTATGAACACCCACAACTCTAGGTTGTTAATGTGCTAAGTGCACTTTGCCCCGGACCACCGCCCTGATGCCATCTGGTGTTCTAGAAATGCGTCTACGACTAGGTGTGACGATGGGGACAGCTCTGTTAAGGAGACACTTCTTAAGACATTTGACTCTACCGTCCACCAACTGAGGTGAGTCCAGAGATGAAGCAGTGGCATGATGGATATGAACGGCTTTGCCATCTGATGTCGGGTGCCAGGAACTGTAGGATCTGGTGTAAGTGCAATCGTCCCCATTTTGTCAGGTGCCATTAGTCAAGTTTAATTGGCTGCTGAAGAGCGGGCAGCAGATTTAGATTAGGCTGTCAACAAGAGTGTAAAGTTGAAAAAGTCAACTTCAGGAGGGGTTCTGAATGTGTTGTGCCTTGACGATAATACTGTTTGCTGAGGCATGACTAACTGTCGTGGGAAGATTAAAGATTCAATGCTGTATTCAGTAGATAAAGCTGACTGAAAATATATAAATCTTTGGTCTGAAAGATCGTACCGTAGGAAGGAGGTGATCATTTCTATTCCCTGGACATCCTACAAGCGCTCCAGTTCTTATATTGAGGTGATGATGAAGGGAGGTGCCTCGTTACTCTGCGTGTTGGCAACGGAAGCCTACTGAAGTTAGTGACTCAGTCACATTGAGGTGGTTGCAGCACTACGTACAAGTAAGCATGCAAAGCAATCTGTACAAATACACTGCACAGCTGGCATTAGGTCAGTAGACCTAATTCCAGTAAAGTCGGGTATGATTACAGTCAGCGGGTTCTTGACATGTGACATTTAAATCACCCTGCGCAGAAACCTAGAATCCCACATTTTGCAGGCGACGAGGTTCTAGCTCTACACAAGGACAATCCACTGTGAACTGTGTGTTGGACAGACAAGTGTTGTCTTACGAGTTCTGTGTAGAATTTGTGACATGGCCGGAGTAGGAGCATGTTGATCTCCATGATATTTGTAACGTCTTGTCATGTCCTGGGTATGATGATCCTGAGAGATGGGTACCAAATAGCATATGACAACTCAGGCACATGTGAACTTGATTGTGAATTTGTGATGATCTGCAAGTTTTGGTAATCACCGAGGAGGTCTGCAATGTAGACTCCTGAGCGTCCAACGTCCTCATGGAGCGCCACAAAGATTGCTGAGCCAAACGCTTTAGCTCCTGTGAACTATGTTCACTGGGCCTTTTTGTAAATGGCCTAATTGCAGCACTAAAAAAAGTTATTACTGGTGTTGTTTTGCTATCTGCAGTTTATGATAGAATATGTAAATGTATTTGTAATGAGTAAGGATGAGACATATGGACAAACAACTTCTTTATTACAATTAGGAGCGATGGTTCGGTGTAGTTTCTAAACCCGTTATCAAGTAAGTGAAGTACAGAGTATGGTTGTCAAGAATATATACTGGATAGGAGGCAGTGTTTATACAGTTGAGTAGGTTTAAGATCAGTTACACTGTTGTATTTGTTATGAGTTGTGTTTCTGCATGAAGTTACCGGTTGTCAGTGAATGCAAAAACACTTTTGGAGGAACATACACACAAGCGATGCAGAACTTACTAACAAGAAAGGAAATGTATTCAATACTGCAAGATGACATTATGTGCCAAGTTTGGTGAAGAAATATGGTACGGTTTTCAAGATCTGCTCCGGAAACGAGGACTACCACCATTTTCAGTCTAAATCAAAGTCTTTGCCATGAAAACTCGAAAAATATATTTTTTTTAAATCTCAAACTATCAAAAGGCACCAGTTCACCACTAGACCTATCTATGTGCCAAGTTTGGTGAAGAAATATGGTACAGTTTTCAAGATCTGCTCCGGAAACGAAATGTGACGGACGGATGGACGGACGGACGGATGACAGCACCCATTCCTATATCCCCCTTCCACTTAGTGGATGGGGATAATAATGGAATCACATAATAATATTGGAATTGTATTACACTATAACGACTGAGATAATGGCTTATAGTGCAAGCAACTTGTAAAATTACACCCAATTTACTGTGAAGTTGCAATGAGTATGATACCCAATTAATGAGAACAAACAGTCTAAATTCAAAATAATGGATATACAGCATATTATGATAAAGTGTTTTACACTTTAAACGCCAATAGCCGACTAAAGGTATAAATACACAAAGATACTGAGCCGACATTGAAATACAGAGTATGTGTCACGTTAGCACTTCAAGATGGCGGATTGGAACAACAGCCACAGTGGAACAAATTTTTTCTCATCAGCTGGACCCATCACAGCTTCGTTTCTGTCTAAAGTAAGCAGTAAATGCATTAAGGAGTAATGCAGGATAAGTGGAAAAAAATGGGTTTTTCAGATTAAAAACGATGTTTTATTGGTCTGTTTTCAGTCGTACAAATGGGTATCTCTCATACCCTCACGTCTAGTCGCACGTTTAAGAGGAAGCCAGAAGCTGGAATGTAAACATTAAACTTGTTTCCGTCCGGTTGCGCACGCACCTCCCTATGACATGTCACAAATCTCGAAGAATAAGCCATCAAGCAGGACTGGACTGGATTGCTTCCCTGTGGGGATGGCTGGGTGGGAACGTACGACTGAAAACAGACCAATAAAACATCGTTTTTAATCTGAAAAACCCATGTTTTAGTCTGTTTTCAGTCGTACAAATGGGTAGAATTCGACGGAACACTGGAAGGTGGGTCGGGAAAGTAATCAGGCAGTGACCACTTTCACGTCGAATGTACCAAGTTCCTCACCCCTGTAGTGACAATA